CAGTGTCCTCGCCTTCCAGTGTCCTCGCCTTCCAGTGTCCTCGCCTTTCAGTGTCTATCTTGTGATAGAAAGTGGAGCACACAGCTCGGCTATTTTTTTTTAATTTTTTATCACAAGCCATTCACGATAAGCATCAGGATCAAAACATGTTCTCAACTTTAACAGATCCACCAGGAGTGGAGGAGGTCCAGGAGTGCACACGCCTGACAGCAGCCCGGTGCCACCCAGCTGATGGGGGACGGAGGCAGAGGTTTGTGGGTAGTGCATCTCCTTTAGCCTGTTAGCTTTAGTGTTAGCTCCCGAGCTAAAATACCAAACATCACAAGTTGATCGTATTGTTTCAACCCATCTGCTTTGCAGAACGACATAAGGACTAATACAAAATATAACTGTATTGTCAAACATTATAAGTGTTTTAGTCTCTATGCAACCTCTGGAAATAATCACCCAGAATGCATTGCACAGATAAAATAATTGTTACATTCTTAGGTAGAAAATGTACCGGTAAATGTCATATACCTTTTTTTAAAAAGCAGTTAGGCATTTGATATGTCACAAACAACAAGTTTTAGTAGAAAGGGAACAAGAACATCTTAAGGTGACCATGTGCAGGTAGTTGGAGATCTCTTTAAAACCTCTCTGAGCTTTGACTGTCGGACTGCTGCTTCGCTCTCTCGTCACTAGGATTCTGAACATGTTCAAATCATTTTCTTTTAAATAGAAACAAAATCAAACAGTCATTGCCAGAAAAGAATTAGCACATCATTTGCAAAATGTACCAGTAATGCAAATTAGGTGATACCCAGCCTCAAAACTAAACTGAGATGGGTTTGAGACAGATGCCCATGTCTCAGCAACTCCAAAGTACTTTACGAGAAAAAATGACATTTTCTAAATTCCTGTGACATGAGAGCGATCTTCTGCAACACACACGAATGAACTGAGACCTGTCCTGAATGTTTGGAGACATTTTGGAGATGCTCTTGTGAACGATGTTTGCTTTTTGGTTCCAGCTGACTCAGCTCAGTCAGATACTGCTCTAATAAACCCAACTGTGACGAGATGGAAAAGAGAAGAAAATGCAATCAGACTGAGACGTAACTGAGACAGTTTTGGGCTGAATTGCTACAAAATAATTTTTTAGTCACCGGAAGCTTGTGCACAAAGGTTGTAGGAACCAGTTCAGAGAGATTTCAAGTAAAAATGTGTACATTTTGTCTCCAGCAGCGACAGCTCAGTCAGATACAGACCTAAAGTCTCAGTAAGACAGAAGACCAGAAGCACATCAGGTTTATGGTGAATGATGTCACTTTGTCTCCAGGACTTTAAATATGTTGCAGCTCAGTGTGCTCAAAGCTGGGTGGTCGTTCTCGTTCTGCACGGAGACGTAAAACTAAAAGTCGTCTCCTCTGCAGGCTGCCAAACACTTTCAGCTGGAGTCTCACCAAGAATCTGAAGCAGAGCGGAGGGCATCTAATGAGCCCGAAACCACAGGCTCGTTTTGAAATATGTGCTGCCACATCTTTCCCGGGTGTGCACGGGGATCAAACATGCAGGAAAGTAGTGGCTTCATGCAACATCTATGGCCAATTTATCACAAAGACTGCCTTCAGTAAAACTTTAACGATGGTCCACACTCAGAGGTTACCCGGTGCAGAACCAAGACTTCTGCGCTCAAAGTCCTCTAAATCAGAGCTTCCTAAAGTTTGGGTTGGCTCATAAAAGAATAAATGTGGGGTTCTTGAGATGATCTATGGAAATCAAATGAACTCTAAAAACGAGTGGCCCGATTATCTTTAACTGCAAAAAAGAAATGAAAGCATTAAAACGTATTAATGTTTGGCTTATTGTCAATGCTTCAGCAAGCTGAACGTTTCAGGAGAGTTAGAAAGCATGTGGGCGATAATGTTTTTGTGTTTGAGTCAACCACAGCAAAGCAACCTTAGCAAACACATAAAGGGCTACAACTTGTTTAATTTTCCAAATACTGAGCTAATATTTGGTGTGGTAGTAGCTGAGAGTCGTTCACAACACATATTCTGAGAGCTAACACGTGTCATGAGACTGAGATTGTCTTACAGGGATTAAACTTCACTAATACATCCCTTCTCATCATATCCCATGGCTCCTCTTCAATCTTTCTTCACGTGTTGAGTAAAAATAATATTTATTACAATAAAACGTTAAAACAGTTCGACAAAGAAAAGAAGCTCAAGCTTTTAAACCTTTTTCAGTTGACATACAACTCAGAATGACGGCATGAGGATGATTTAAAGAAAACTTTAATAAAAGACAAGTGTTACACCCTGTTTCAGAAGATGGACTCCTAAACACGACAACGTTGTACGAACAGATCATGACGCTCACACGGCACACTGAGACGGACCACTCCGGCTGATCGTCCTCCAGACGGCCCACTGAAGGGCTTTTGGGCCGTTGGTACAGCTCAGCACATTAAAGGAGACGTAGAATGCATACAGTGTGAAACTGAGGTTCACTGAGAAGAAAGAGTGTAAACATCCGCAGCAGGATGTTACAACAGCCTCTGTGGGAATGGATCAGGACCAAACAGGAAGACAGAGGTGATGAGGAGGCAGAGGGTGGAGCTGTGAGTGTGGGCAGCAGGTGAAAAGGAAATCAAGAAAGCACCAGCAGGAGCAGGAGGGGTTAAAGCGTTCCCTCGTCCAGCAGTTTGTTGAGGCCATTGCAGATTTTCCTCAGGGAGAGTCTGTACTCCTCTCCGTCTCCGTACAGCTCGGACAGGAAATCCCCGCAGGCAAAGTGGTTGAAGACGTGGTCGATGCGTGCGTGCGAGCGTGCGGTCAGGTGCTGCTCGACCAGAGCATGGAGCAAGTCCCTGCACTCCAGCAGGAGCTCTGACAGGATGTTCCTGTCGAAGGTGTATTCCACCTCATAGAATGACACTGCCGTCATGGCCGCCTGGTTCATCTTCTTCTTGAAGCGCTCCACCGTGTCCAGCTCGTCCGGGCTGAACTGGTGGTTCCGGTACAAGATGCCGATCTTCAGGGCGATCTTGATGACATCCTTGATGATCTTGTGAGCCTCCTTCTTGGTCTTGGTGAACTCCCGGGACGCCTTGTAGAGCTCGTCCAGGATCTCGCTGCTGGTGTCGTCCGTCAGCATGTTGGCGACCGCCATGGTGGCCATCTTACTCAGGATCTTCTTCTGGGCCTGCAGAGTCAGGGAGCGTGAGTTAAAGTTCTCTTGACCTGCAGGAAAAAATAAATAAAATGAGAGAATAAAAGATCAATGAATAAATGAATGAATGAGTGAATCAACCAACCAACTAACCTACCTACCTACCTACCTACCTACCTACCTACCTACCTACCTAC